TACCATATTGAAAAATATACTATTTTTGTATGATAATTATGGGTTTTGTATTTTATTTTAATAGAAGTTGATGTTGCTTTTGCAATTATCCATCAATTTTTTAAAATTAAACACTATCTACAGATTTGCATCGAAGCGTTTCTTATGATAGTGATTTTAATCACTGTCAGATTAAATCTATACTGGACCCTACTATGCAATGTCTCCACTATGCCACGACCCCACTGTGCTACCGTTTTTTTTGAATATGGTAGCCATTAACGCATAGAAGATAGGTCGTCAGGAAAAATTTTTTTTTTTCATTTTATAGTACATTAAATAAGCTTTAATTTGATATATGTTTAAAGAACGCAGTATTTCCGGAACATTTTCAAAAATTAAGTTGAAAAAGTTATTTTTTGTAAAAAAGTTACTATTTTAAGTCCCCCGTAATGAGCAGGTTAAGTGATAGAATTTCAAAAAAATGATATTAAATGAAAGGTAAATATCTAAGGTTTTAGTATAAAAAAAATTTTGTTGATTTGTTGATTTTTCAAAAAGTTATGGAAGTTTTAAGAAAAAAAAGTGAAAATATTTCGAAAATTAGCGATTTTTAAATTTATAATTTTTTTGGATATTTCCCCCATTTGCGGGGAACTAGGGAATTTTTAAGGGTAATTTCTTCAATTAGATACGATTTGTGATCTTTTGACGTATTTTTGAAAGAAATCGGTCCAGTGAGAGCTGAGAAAAGTGGCAACAGACATAAAAAAAAAAAACACATCATAGTAAAATTAATACCTTCTCCGCTTCGCATCGAAGCTAAAAAAGCATGCTGATTGAAAGAGGTTTATAAAGAGTATTTATAATAAAAAATTGTATTAATCCATATATTTTTCAAAAATTTATAGCATTTTAAGTTAAAAAACCCAGCATAGGGGGATCACGCACAGTGGTGATGTGGCATAGTTGGATTGAGTATAATGATATGTGACAGTGAATAAAATCACTAACATAAAAAACGTTTCGATGGAAATCTTTAGATATTGTTTAATTTTAAAAAATTGGTGGATTATTCCAAAAGCTACATGATCTGCTATTGCCTTATTTATATCTTGATTAAGATAAAGTATGTCGAATGAAAAAGAGATTATTAAAAAATATTACTTCTCATAAAATAATTGTGTTGATCCATACACTTTTCAATAAGTTATAGCATAATAGAGTTAAAAATGTAAAATATAGTCTGAATTTTTTTTTTCATAATATAGTATATTACATAAGGTTTAATTTAAGGTATATATAAAAGTGTCAGTATTTCTGGAACACTTTCAAAAGTTAAGTTTTTTTTTTAAAAAGTTGTCATTTTGAATCGTCTCCCTGGGGACAGGTAAACGGTCAGATTTATAAAAAAATATACCAAATGAAAGGTATAGACATCATGCATCTATTAAATAAATCATGTTTATTTAAATAAAAAAAATATCACCCAAAGAAATTTACAACAGTTCAAAGGTTACAAACTAAACCAGCGAAACGCTTACAGCCATCGTATTATACGCTGAAATGACTTCATAAGTTTAAGAAGACATTTTAAACTTTCGATCAAAATATTGTACGAAAAATGTAGAAGTATCTTTTGCTGAAGTTGTAAATTCATTAACTAGTATTACTTAGATATTATCAGCGTTAACTGAAAGATTATGTAGGTTAGAAAATAACCTACCTAAACTTAAAAACAAAACTACAAAAAACATAAAATCTTGTATCATACGGTTTATTGCATGGAACGACATTGATTTAGTACAGCAAAATTTTGAATTATGAAACTTTCCACATGATGAATGTATATAATGTAATATATATATACCATATATCTTTAAAACGACGAATAAAGTCTAATTTGTTAATCCCAATTTGGTTGTTTTATTTGTTACATTTCAGAAGTGGGATGATTTATCCATAGTGTATCTAGAATAGTTGCCGGTTGGTCATGAGTTTTGTAGTTGTTTGTAATTAATTGGTTTGTGCGTTATTATTACTTTTTCTTTTTTAATTAAGCTTAATATTTATGTACCTATAAATCTAATCGGAGATACTTTTACCGTACTATCTGTTACACGAGTTAGTGAAATCATCATCGTCCAACCTGGTTTAAAATTAGGTTAAGTCATCTAACAACGCCATCTTTGTGGTAGACAACCAATTGTGTCGAACTTTTATCAACAGTGATACATCTGTTGATACCGGAAACACGTGAAGTGATTACGTTGTTTTTTTTTTTTTTTTTTTTTGTGTTCTTGGCCGTGTTAGTGGAAAAAATTAGTTTAGGTTTGGCTTTCGATCTTGATATTTCGATTTTTCAATATGGATTTTTCGGGCGAGTCAAACGCGGCGTTAAGGGTACTAGTGGAAAACAACGCTACCACCACCAGTTTATCAAGTTGTTTTGGGCTTAATTGAAGCGGTTGGTACATTTGATGGTGGTGATGGGAGCAGTGCAGAAGCTGGGGTATGGCTGTCAAATTATAATGCAACTTAGGAGGTGCATGGGTGGACAGGTTCCTAAAATTGCAATTAGCTCGTCGACACTTTAAAGGTGCGACGAGGTACTAGTAGAAAACAACGCTACCACCACCATTCATGGCTAAATAAGCTTTGTTTGTATTATTTATTCTTAACTGAATTTCATTATGCATATTATTTTTTGTATTTACATTGATTCCACGTGAATTTAAACTCAACTCTACTTGCTCAAAGGTGCTTTTAGAGCTGCTGTATTTACCATATGTCTAGTCATTACTAGGTATTTAGATTTTCTTCTTATTGATAACAAGATTCATTCTGTGACTACACTCAATTTATAACTCTCTGACCATTACTACGTCGTTTTTGGTGTCTCCTAATATTACTATGTTGTCCGCGTACGCAAGCATTATATTTTTACCATTCATCTCAACTTGGTGATTCACTGATATATTACTGATAACTTTTTAAGCGCCAGATTAAACAGTATAGGAGACATTGCATCACCCTATTTTAGACCAGATTGAACCTCAAATTGTGAGGATAGCTCACCTGAATACCAAACTTCACATTATGTGTTTGAATTACATATTTCCATCATTTTGACTTTTCTGGGATTCCGAAGTTCCTCAACGCTATCCATAGTTGTTGTCTATTGATACTATCAAGTCTTTATCATATTCGTAGTACTTCTACATTATTTGCTGGATAGTGAAAATATGATGTGTTGTTGACTTTCTTCTTTTACCCACACTAGTATTCTCAAATTATGTATTTTTCGTATGCATCCAATCGTTTTAAGACAGCGAAGAATAACATTTTATAGCTTGTATCCAATAGTGAAATTCCTCAGTGATTTTCTATCTTAGATTTGTTTCTTTTTTTAAAGGTTCTGCTTTAAGCCCTTACATATCAACATAAGCGTCTGACGTCTTATGCAATAAAAGAATTCCAATGAGGCTGAAGGATAAATTCTACAAGACTGTAGTGAGACCAGCTATGATATATGGTTCAGAGTGATAGTCAAAAAAAAATGTTGAAGGAAGAGGTAGAAGTAGACCAAAAAAGAGACGGAGAGATGCTATTGAATGCGATATAAGCGTCAATGATGTGGAGATCGTGTCAAGTGGAAGTTTAGGAAAAGGGTGGCCGACCTCAAGTAGTAGGGATTCAGGCGAGAAGAAGAAGAAGAAGAAGAGAAAAGTAAATTAATAGATTTATTATGTATTGTAAGTCGTATACGATTTGTAATTTTTTTGCGTGATATCTTTAACTATCTATTAGATATATCTAGTTAAATACATTACATAAAATTCTGAAAAAAATTCTTTGTCCCTCATAAATGAACATTCCCTAAAAGATTACAATTTTTATAATCGGTAGTTTTCCAATTTTTTCAATGTATTTCTTCTTAAAATTGTTCTATTAATTAATATCTTATAAATTAATAATTCTATTTAATTATTGAAATTACAATAATTATAATGTCCCAGAAAATGTCTGTTCTTTATAAGTTAATAAAGAACTAACCAGAAACAAACATTTTTCTTTTTATTTTGAATAATTAATTTAATCATTTTTACTCCATTATTTTTGTAATTATCTTATTTAATAAAACAAATTATACTTGAGAAAAAAATATATTCCTAAATATATATTCCTACTCTTCTTTTTACTCATTATAATTAAATATTACGATATGAGTTGAGATAACGTTTTTGTTTATCATTTTGTTTCAGTTTATTACTCATTAAATAGAGTCCTAATCTCACTGTTATTTTATAGTTTATATTTTTAAATGATTTGTCTAGCAAAGTAAATTTCTCTATATTATTTTTATTTTTTGATTAATTTAGTACTTAATGATAAAAGAATTGCCCTGTATTGGACTTTTTTCCTTAGTATTTCATTCAGTTATGAATAAAGTACAATGATATATATAAATTTTGTTTTATTTAATTAGACAGACAAAAACATAAACAGACAAACGGAGGTTATTTTTATAAATGTATACACTTATTTACATGTTTGTTGATAATTACAAATAATTTTTGTGTTCAGTCATTTGCAAGTGTATTCTTCAATGCGTTCGACACATGTGTCACACTTGACATAGCAACACCAGTAAAATGTACAGCGACATTGTTTGCTCCTGACGAATTGATGAGTGTTGTAACCTCTTCCACAACACAGTAGATCACACCCATCAGTACCTAAAAAAATTAAATGAAACATTGTTTAAGTAGTCGATATTTACATTGATAATTTCAATGTGCTTGATCATACCCTCAGAAGTCCTATTACATAATCTTCCATGCGTCCCTAACGATCCAGTACCATAGTCCCTATCACAGTAGTTAGGAGATTGTTCCAAGTACACGAGTTCGGTGATTCTAGGCTCTTCTTGATTAATACTCGTAGATCTGGCTAGTCGAAGCTTCAGTTTGAGTCGTCTGGAAGACCGCTTTCCGTGGGGTCGTTTTGACCGGCCGTTGGTCGTGAACGACTGTGGCCGAGGCATTGTAGGTGTTGCAGATACACCTCGCGCCTTCCAATATTTCTTCATCAGAGCTTTACCAACATGGCGGAAATGTGGCAAGCTGTGCCAACATGTTTTCATAGTGCAGCTCCCCGATACTCCGTGGCACTTACAATCGGTGTTCAACAATTGTTTCACTATCTAAAATCAATACAAAGTTAAATTAAATAAATATTGTGACCCATATTATTTCACGGAAAAATAATATTAATTGCATTTTAGTTGTTATACTGGCGTTTGTTTCATTTGAATTATGCATTAAGATGGTAAGTTGATTTCATGCGCAGTATGTTTTGTCAACAATTACCTTTCTGCCAGCTTTGTTGTTATGAAGGTTCATCAAACTTCTAGGATCACTGGCATCCGACTCTTGTGCGTCTAAAAACTTCCTTGCAAAACCCATGCCAAAGTTTAAGTCTACACTGCAGCCACCCCATTTCCATGACGAAGCTGTAGGTCCCACGTCCAATACACCAGAGTAGTGTGTATCACATCCACATATGGATATGTTTCCTCTGCTGCATGCATCCATTAGCGAATATGTTACTCCTGCACTAATTACAGCATACATGTATGCAGCTTCACGACTGGCTAAAAAAGCATTATTCGATTATGACCGAGTCTTATAACTGACTATATTCATTAATAACCAGTATATATTCCTTATATTTTCGAAAAATATTATTGATTTATTAACAGAATTGTAAATATTTTGCATCCAAAAAAAATCAATGGTGAAAAAATTCTTCAATTTTAATATAATATTTCAAAATTACCTTTAACCGAAAAATTTAAAGCAATTTTTACAATAACGTATATGTATAAGACTAAATATGTTACTAAGTTTTATGAATATTCAGTTCTCATCAACGTTAAAATATATAAAATTCTAATTTTAACTCTTATAAAAATTCTGTTGTATTATATACGGTTAGTTATTACTTGGATTGCTTTTTAAAAAATACTCATTTTGTCAAACAAAAGATATAATAAAAATAATATTTGTCACTAGGCTTCGCCTTGTTGGGGCCCTACGAGCTTCACGCGCCTTCCTCATAAGTAGGCCACTGATTCCGGTAGTATTCGGCTATGCTGGGCACAATAAGTGTTTTGCAGGAAAAATATTACATAAGAATCAGTGTAACAAAAATACATTTAAAATTAAATGAATAAAATCAGGAAAATTCAATAAGAGAAAGTAGTAAAATGTATGAGGTTGACGTTTGATTACTACGGTATTCTCTTGAGGCGTATTTTAATTTTTTTTTTCTAAAAATCAAAGTGATGATCAAAAAAAAGTCATTAGAGCTAATATAGCTCTAATGACTTTTATAATTATATAATACAAATATAGGGAACAAAATTAAATTATTATAATTATTTAATTAGAAAACAATGATTTGAACTTCAATAAATATATTTACAATGTTGATAATAACAGAACATAATTTTTGTTTAGGCAAAGTAATTTGAACTATTTATGTATACGATTTAGAAAACATTTGAAATTCAATTAAGAATTGTGCTTGGCATTTGCAAAATAAAACATTCGCAAACTAAACGTATTAGTGATTTTATATGTTCTTTATAGCAATTTTAATCAGACACTTTATGGTACAAAAAATGTTGCAATAAATATCTCGGAAATTTGAAATTTTTACTTGTTGGTTCGAATTTGTAATAAAATCCAACAAAATTTAGCTAGCCAAATTATTTTTAGGAAAGTATAACAAACATCAGGATTTTATATAACCAAATGTGCCGTTTGTACGCGTACGTACAATATTTTTGTTTATCTGAGACGTCTAATAAAACTCGTAGACAACACAGTGCAATTACATTCTACTAATAACGACATTGCCGGTAAGTTGTTAAATTCCCAGTTGATTGTTTTCAACAAAATGTGTAGACTAAAATTTGTTTATTTATAGCGATTTAAGGAAAACAAACAATTGGTATGAACATTTTAACACTTTCATGTATTTTGTGCTATTTTTACATTGAATTGTGTACCGCCTACATAATAAGGAGGTATGACTGAATTCGTTTCACTAATACGATTATTGATTACGACGCCGCTTTATTTTTCGGCTGGACACCGTAGCATTACGCGGCCACCACTTTTGGTGGTTGGCCGTTGCCGTAAAAGTCGCACACACCTTCTGAATCCCTGGTACCGTTTTTCCATTTTAGGTTTTTGACGAACTTGCGTTACGCCGTGCAAGTTGTATGGCTTTCTGATTATTATGTTGCCTATGCATAGCGCCTTACTTTACTACAAGAGTTTTTGTTAATGTAGAAATAATTTTCTTCCGTCGACAACGTCATTATCGTAAGTACATGAGGTTTTATAACGCAGATAATTGAACATGTAATTATACTACTTATAGTATTAGTGGTAATAAATAACACATATTAGCTGTGAATCATATTTTAAAATTTTAAAATCCGAGCAGAACGATTATTAAGGATGTAAAATAAATTCTAAGAACATCTCAAAGAGGTATTTTATTCAAATTTAAACTAAGAGTAATTCTGTTAGTCAGATTTTTGACGGCATATAAGTATTATAAGCACTAAAAAATGTATTTTCTGTTTATTATAAGTTAAAAGTTTGTCGTATTACTATATTTGGTATTAAATATCATTCTTTAAAAACTTATGTACTTTTACACCATATAATTAACAGTTTTCTGTGTAGAAAATCAAGTAACTCGATTTTCTGAAATTATTCGAAATGAAGAAAATAAAATACCATTTTTTATAGCTAGCAATGGAAATAGACTTTTACTACTCAAGAAAAAACAGATTTTTGTTACGGCGACGACTATGTTCAATACATAATATTGTTTTCCTCTTTTATTTAATATTGTTACTATTATGCTTTAAATATTGATTATTGCTTGAATAATTTATCAAATTTGGTATCGTTGTATTTAATGACAGCTATGTTCATGACTCAATTAAAAAAACTTGTGATTCGAGACTTCACATTTTTAGGATAACCCAATGATTAATTTTTGTTCATCTCTTCCTGGCCACTGATACCAACAAATTTCCTTTTAATATTAATATCACTTTTTTTTTTTTTTTGTAAAATGGCATGGTATTTTTGTAAAAATCATCTGTTAAGTAAATATAAATCCATTATTTGTACGCAATTGAAGGAACACAAGATTACGGTAAAAAGTACTGTAGACTAAGGAATACAACCGTTGAAAAATTCAACAAACATATAAAGTATGAAGATTTAATAATTTTAATTGTCATATTAACTTTTCATATTTAACATTCACTTTTATTGATAAACATTTAGTTTGTCTGGGGCGAGGCTGCTATCGAAACCTACGCTACCAATTAAATTTTTAATCCGATGAACGTGTGTGTTGTGGGAGTACAGATTGCTGTAATTGCTTGCACACATAGGTACGACATAATAAGTATTAGTTTAAAAATCCTTTCATGACCAACGCATGCGTACTGTATAACTCAGATTAACTTTTATTGACACATAAATAACGCATGGTATATTTTTTTCTAATTTAAGACCGAAATATTTTTTAAATGTAATTTTTATTAAAGGATCTGTTTCATTTATCTGATCAACTACGTCGGTATGCTATGTTAATATTAATGTGCTAGTCTATATCATGTTTTCCACAAACGGATACGGCTAAAAGCATAAGAGCGTTAAATCGAACTTAATCCGATCTTTCAGCGGCGCTCGTTTCGACAGTATTACAATAATTGAGACACAAAACAAATGACTTCTTTACAGAAACGCTGTATTTGCGGGAGGGGTGGTAGAAAAACGATAAATTAGTAATTTTATTGCAGCCTAGTTTGCCCCACGACCCCACGAAGCGTCCAGACTTTCAATTACAACGCAGATAATGAAACAAGTTTTTTATACAACGTTAGTCGATTAATTTAAAACATGTTTTTTTTAACGTATCAGGTCGGATATTCTTTATTTCTAAAATAAAATCACTGGCATACAATTTAGTTCACCGACCGTAGTCCCGTATCGTTTTTAAAAGCTTAGAATAATTAAGTAAAAATTAATTATTTATATTAACACAGGTTACTTTTTTGTGAAAAAAAAAAACTGCCATCAAAATCTGTCTCCTTATACTCAAACTGAAGCGTAAAAGACAGTAATATTTGAATATTCTTGCTGTACACACACTATCATATTTTAACATGTAAAAATTACTATATTTTAATTGCGTTTTATTATTAAGCTATCAAATAGCCTGTAAAACAATTTACAATAACAGTGATAATATTTTTGCTTGGGAATTTTGGCGAAATCGTAATTTAAATATATTCGTGTCACGTTTTAACTATAAAAACTGCGTGATTCACTAGTCAAACAATAAATGGACATAAAATGAATCATATAATGTCATCATAATAAATGATTGTCTACAACACTAATTTACAAAATATATTATACTTTTAACAAATTATACACTGATGGGTTGATCTATTATGAATAAGTCAGTGGATGACTGTAATCCTTTCCTAACGAGACTAATAAGTAAAACATAAATAGAGGCATATTTTTGCTTATCTTATTTGTTCTTAGAATGGTATCGGTTTGATCTACCCGTCTACCCTAATGACTTGGTAAAAAAAGTGAATGGTTATTTAGTGTAACAGTGTAGAATACCAACACACTAATATAGCTTATTAAAAAATTATTTCTTCACAGCTTATCGAGTAATTGAACAAGAAAATTTACTTGAGGAAAACGGGGTGTAAATAAAATACATTCACAAATATATAAAAATTTGCACAATTATTATATTTTGAAGTTCTTTTTCGCACTAAGTGAATCATTTAATCAATTGGTTTTGCTAATTTTTTTTTAATGTCATTTCATTTAAATATTATTGTAAACATAAATTTCAATGTTTTCGTATATCTATACAATTTTTTTGTACTAATTTTGTTATTAATTATTTATTGTTCATTACTTTAATATGAATTTAAGTTTATAAGTTATCTGTAATTATTTTTTTCCTATTATAAAAATTCAAAAATTTATATGCCTTTGTTATATATATATATATATATAAATTTAAATATTGTATTTATATTTTACATAGCAAACATTTTTATTATAAGTAAAAATGATGAAATAGTAGTTTATATCGTTACTATTATGGCTGTCAAAATTTGTAAAAATTGATTTCTTAAAAATGTCATAAAAAAATAAAATTTAATATGAAAATAATATTTAGTAATTTAATCTTTAATCTTATGTTAGTGCAAATTTATGTTTTTTACATAGAAATTATAAAAAGAAAGAAACAAAATATCGATTATTCTGACCTAATTAAATAAAGTCAGAATAATAATAAAAAAAAATGAAATTGTAATCTTAATTATGAAATTTAAACTACAATTTAACATGATCCATTTGGTCGTTAGAATATTTTTTGGCAAAGATAGTACTATTCTTTTTAATAAAATCATTGAATTGATTTTAAAAGCTGAAAAGTACTTTCTGAAAATATTTTTGTAATTGACAATTCAATCTTATTTATTTTTTTGTGAAAGGGAGTTAAATAGAGTACTTAACTCTGCTTCCTGTATGCTTATACTGTTTAAATAAAAGTGAAGTAGATAATTATAACAGCACGAAAAACAGTGATTTTTTACACGAAAATAACATTAATTGTTTAACTGCAACAACCATTTACATATTAAAGATATACTTTCAAGACAATCTTTTATTTTATGTAATATTTGCGGAAACCAAAAGGAACATGTTTTACATTTATACGTTTTTTTTTAATTTATGCATATTTATGCCTTAAACTTTGTGCATTTCAATGGTTTCTTCAAATTTGAGCGTTTATATGGCTTCTTAAAATTTATTCATTTCTATGGCTTCTTAATATTTATATATTTCTATGGCTTCTTAAAATTTGTGCATTTCTATGGTTTCTTCAAATTTGAGCATTTATATGGCTTCTTAAAATTTATTCATTTCTATGGCTTCTTAATATTTATATATTTCTATGGCTTCTTAAAATTTGTGCATTTCTATGGTTTCTTCAAATTTGAGCATTTATATGGCTTCTTAAAATTTATTCATTTCTATGGCTTCTTAAAATGTATATATTTCTATGGCTTCTTAAAATTTATATATTTCTATGGCTTCTTAAAATTTATATATTTCTATGGCTTCTTAATATTTATATATTTCTATGGTTTCTTAATATTTATACATTATATGGCTTCTTAAAATGTATTCATTTGTATGGCTTCTTAAAATTTAAACAATTAATTTTTTTAATTAATTCATATCTATGGATATAATTCATATCTTTTTATATGATATTTTACAGGAAACTTATAGGTAACTCAATTATAGTTATAAATACAGATGGGTATACTATTTTATAGGGTTCATAAAATATATTAATTTGTACAATTAAGTGAAGTAAATACTATTGAATTGGATGGCAGTAAACAAAATAGAATGTCTTCTTAATTTAAGTCACTGCTTGAAAGTTGAATGTTATTTTCTTAATTAATTCGTTATGTATAGACAATTTGCCATTTTTGTAATACCTGAATACAATGCGTATTGTTATTTCATAATATGAAAAAAACTAACGATATCTAATTAAAAGAATCTCGCGCTACATCTATCACGGTTGACCTATGTGTAAGCTTGCCATTGAACATATATGAAACAGTATTAAAATTAATGTGCAAACATATCTAAAAACAATAGGTTAATAAGGTGTGATTATATAAAGATATACGAAGATTGTTAAAGATTCTTTTTGTTCAGAAAAATAATTCCTAGTAAATCGATGACAATGAGTTGTGATAAATTTCTGTAACATTTTAGCATTGTTACTAACTATGGTAAACATGTTTAAACGTTAGTTAGTATGACAGTTTTAGCATAATAGTATTTTTAATGAATAAAAACAAAAAAAAAATAAGAAGTATAAAATACTTCTTTGTTGCTACTATTTTCATATTTATTTTATTTAGAGGCCAAATAATAAATCATATGTTACCGCAGAAAGATATTCTAATAACCAATTAGTAAAGAACAAATTTAGGTACAATGTAATTGCCAATTACAAAGTAATTACTAGCATTTTCTTTTCAACGTTGTTTACAACGCAAAATATTTTATTAATTTTTATTTGAAACTATTACCCGAAAATATATTTTAAAACTTACTAATATATGAACAAGTAAATAATATAGGATGTTTTTTACGAGGTTACCGCTGACCTTCACGAATGCAAAGAGTTGAAAATTTTCATAAACATCATCAGTTGTAATATGAAATGATGGTGACATTTATGTGGAGATTACCTACAATAAGCTATAACAACCGAATGTAAAACATATGCATTTGAACCTAAGGTGAAATTGGGCAATGACAAACTTGGTGAATATTTAAAATTTGCATCTTCATTTTACTACTGATATTTCTGAAAAGAAATCTAATAAACTTAAAGAAAATGGTTTGGAAACACTAAAAAAGTAATAAACAAATTTACTTGAAGTAAAAACGTTTGGCCCTGGCTAAGTCAATTTTTAATAACACATATTTCTATAGTTATTTGTGATAGAATGAAAAAATAAAAAATAATAAAAGTATTATACAAGGAAAAGACACCGACAGAAGTTTAATGGGTCTTCTCACTTTATAGTGAGACACGCTACAGGAATCACAGGCAATCGACATGTGCTAATGGATATGCCGCGACTTTTATGACGACCATTAAAAATACACGGCCAAGACAATTTCAGTGTATATTATAATAACTCAGCCATCAATACTCATAATACAACGTACCCCAACATACGTATATTTTTCTAATAATAATGTCATATAATATAGTGGTATCGCTGTAATCTTATCATTATAGGCGCAAATTGGAAGGAAAACTCTGTCTTTCAAAAAAAGTCCCTTCAAAATTTCAGAAAAACAATATATGATATATAAAAAAAGTTAAAAAAAAACATATAATGAGCACCTCCAAAATTTTTATTGAAATTGCGTCTATACTTATCATACCGATAAGATTAAAAAGTCGTGAGTGGCCCTAACTTATATATAATCGTTATAACATTGAAAGACCTAAGAAAAAAATGAGTGTTCCGGTGTTTACTAACAACCCTCAAATAAAAAATTAAGCAGCCGGACAATGTGTTGCCATGCCCAATAAAATATCCATACTAAATGTTAAAACTTATTTTGAGTACATAAAATATAGGTGTATTTATTTTGGGCATCTGGAGATACCACTGGAACCGGACCGATTAACGTAATAAATGAAGTGGTTTTTTTTTCTCAAAAATATTAACTAAACGGGATATGCTATGTACACATTAAATTAGTTAACGTTTTTTTACTACATACAAATAATTTATCATTACTTATTCAAACTGTTTAGGCGTATGTTGTGTATATCATTTTTATTGATTATAAATTAGTAGCAATTATACTTAAAGGAGTTTTTGATTACAAATATTTACCGAATACATAACATTAATCTAAGTTGGTTGATGTAACCACTTCATTCTTTAAGATATTGTCTGTAGAAATGAGAAGATATTTAATTTTGTATTGGATACTTTATCCAGAGTTATTAATTTCGTATAGATGAATTTTTATACCGTGATTATATTTTAGTACTATTATATATTTACTAATCGGTTATAGAGAAATAATTTAACTAAAAGATACTCTGTGAACGGTAAGTATATTATAGTGTGTGAAAATTTTACACTGACGATAATATTAAATCCAAAAAAAATTTTTGATCAGTTTTTGATCTTAAATCTTTGATTTAATTTGGTTGAAGTGTTTTATAAGTGCTCTCATTAATAAATGTTAAAACGGATATTACACTTAAAATAAATGTATTGATAAAAAGAGGTATGAACTAAATTATCTATCAGATACCTGTGATCTGTAGGTGTCCAAAAGGATTGCCTTTGGTCGGTCCAGTACAGTTCCATCTATGACTGTTGAATTGTATTTGACATTCTTGTTTGGCCATACGAATACCGTGGCCGACGGCGGCCATAGCGTCAGGTGCAGCGGCACAAATTCTTCGTTGGCCAGCCGTCAGTCCAGTTATCCTATTGCAGATCACTTGAGCGCCAAAAGCACTTACCGACGTCCTAAATTAAAATAAAACGTTTAAAAAAATGTACTCAATTCACACATAAGTACAATGTTCAGCTGTAACAATGTATTAATTGTAAATATAATTAATCCTTTTTATGTTTAGCGTTTCCTTGTAGTAAAGATGATGGAACAACCAAAGATGTAATAACTCAGTGCAATGAAATCAAATCTCAGTATCTGAGCACCGGCGCCCAGCGAATACGCGACTAAACTTCGTTGTCTATTTAGCTAATACATATACCAACTCAATGGAGACAATATAATTGTATATTAATTAAAATAATGTGCACTATAGGTTAATGGAATAGAATAGCTAACGGCAATGTCAGAGGTTTTTAGAGTAAACGTTGTATTATTCTCTCAAGTGATGTTATCCACTTGAATTTACGACAAACTGCGATTAACATGATATATTTTGTACTCTTTTAACTATCATTTAAACTAGTAAAAAAATCCTTCTACAATCTGTGGGAAATGTTCGTGACGACTAGTGGGTGACTCATATGCGAGCATGTGAATATTTACCGGCGACCGGCACTTAACAATGCTAGAAGTCACTAATTGAACTGCCTACCTATGAAGACAGTACGTTTTTTTAGCTTATGTGAATCAAGGAAACTTTATAGATTTTATCAAATAATTTAAATAGAGTATAACAGTTGATAAAACAAGGAACTCTATGGTACAATAAATATTTAAAAATATCTGTTATTTTACGTTCACAACTCAAAGACCTGTACTTACTAAGACTAGAAAAATGTATATTTATATTTACTATTTTAACTATGTCAAATAAATTGATTCATTGTGCATTAATAATTTTTATTCATATTTTTTTTTTTTTGTAAAAAAAAAAAAATGATAATGCTATTTGACCTTCGTTAAAGATCAATAGTTGTTCATTAACGAAATATTCGAAGAATTTTTTTAACAACTATAAAATACAAAAAAAAAAACAATAGTGGTGAATTCCAAACAACTTGTCAACTTATATATATATATAATGATTGTTGCAAATAATTCAAAATTTAAATTATATGTAAAAAATTGAATTTAATTTGAAATAGTATTACTTCTTTGGATCGAGTATGTGCCCAATTAATAATTTTTATATAAGTATGCTTTCATCATTAGAGCTCGTAGTAAATAGAATAATGCATTTTAATATAATTAATATGAATTTTAGTTCATGAATTACAAATAAATTTCTCTTACAATATGGACAATTTGTTTACCCATATAAATGCATAAAAAATTTAGCAACTCAATAATACAAAAAATGTGTCACTTGACAATGTAAACAATAAATATTTAAAATTTTCAAAGAATAACGTAATATTTGTATCAATATTTTGATCAGTAAGGCAAATGTTTACAAATTGACTCTTCACTTTTATTTTACAGAATCGTGTAATATTTCAATAAATATATATTGACTCGATATATTAACAGACTTCAAAACGATATTAATAAAATAAGTATCAACAGAGTTTTAACTCTTCAAAAATTGCCAGTCTCTTATGAAAAAAAAAGTAATTTTATTTATAAATCATACTGCAAGTTTTACACATATAAAAATCAAATATCAGTATTATACTACCTCTATAAAATACTATAACTTAGACAAATTTTCTCGACACAAAGTCACTAAAACCAGAATTAGTTAACAAGTAGTATACAATCGATAAATAGAAACCGCACGTGTACAAAAAGCTTGATAATAGATAATGGAAACACTAACATGTCACTGATAAGGTAAAAATTTTGCAATTTCAGTAAATACGCCAACAGCCTAATGGCTCGAAAGATACATCGGTCACGTCTGCTACCGAAACTTGTTATGCATATCGTGTTGAATGAGAAGTCTATCCGTACAAACATAATTATTACGGTATTCAAAGCGCTGTGAATCGATTCCGGTCTTATCTAATGCAAATAAGTTATATATCGAGTATAGTTTTTCAATTAATACGTCATACGATGTCTAACTGCCCACACGACAACCCAACGCACGACCTACGAACTTTTGTTTTATAATACATTAGGTTTGTTATTTTTATCGTATAATAAAACACACAATGTATAAAAAATGCATTATTTCATTGTGGTATGCTTCCACGGAAAATAACATCTGATGAAGGTCCATTAACGATCGTCGACCGCAACAACGTCCTGGTATATGAAGTATTGACAAAAAGAGAAATAAGAAAAAGTAAATTAATAATCATGATGATAAAAAGGTAAATAGTCTGCTGAGTAAATGGAATAAAGAAGGTAATTTGATTTAGAACCTGTTTTGATGTGACTGATAGTAGTCGCTTTGATTCGCATATTATAATTGTTAAGAGACAAACCGAGATAATTTATAACAAGTCAAAATACGTGAAGCTCATACCAAACGAACACATGATTTCATGAACTGCGTGTAAAAATAAAAGGAAAAATATAATAACGATTATGGGTCACTGATTTTTTATTATGATTCATATCCGGTATCTGTAGTCAATTGAACACAATAAGGTAAAATATGACTTTGTCTAATAGTGTAGTCAGNTAATAACGATTATGGGTCACTGATTTTTTATTATGATTCATATCCGGTATCTGTAAAGTTAAAATACCGCAATTTATTCCTATAGTTTGTATACAATCATTTACATCATAAATGACTCATTTTTTTCTAATAAAACCGTTTTTCTCGAATTAGAACGATCGTGGTATCGAATTGTTCACAACTACAAGCAACGTTTTTATGTTTAAGTGCGGTAAACTTGACTAGTCTTGAACAGTTTAGATAATAGCATTGTACTACTATCTAATATCTCCGTCAGTAATGCCACTCGATTTCGAGACCTTAAAAATGAGTGTCATAGAAGGACAACAGTAAGCTCAAATACTTTTGGAGTCTAAAGGTGCGCCAACTTCCTTCCCGAAATTCATACGACAACCTAATTTTACACTGAAAATGGTACTTTTAAAAGGAATTTGCTAAGTCTTTCAAAAAAATGTCTTCGTTACCTAGAGATTAAGGACATGTTTCGTGAAGAGCTAAAGAAAATTCAACTTCTATTAGCAGTTGACTCTTCGTTTTCGTGGAAAATCATTTGCGGATGATTCCCTCGTGTTCCCCTAAATTTGTCCGGTAGTTTCTTTCCCGTAAGTTTACAATTTAATCTGCACAGAGCACCTGGATGACAGAATCGCACCGGTCGATCGTCCGGCGGTAACGTTATCCGGCTACTGTAATGGTATCCCGCTGGCGCTATTACAAGAATACATATTCTGGGCACCCAACCGAGACGACGGACATGTATACACGCGTCCCCAATATCCTATTCACGCGCACTCTAATTATTTCGTTGTTACTGTTTATTGCTGTCGTCGTGTACACGAGAATACGTTCTTTTCGACGCCCAGCTGAGGAGGGTTTTATCTGCAAAATATCGGCCAAGAATACCGCCAACAATGGTTTCCTATCATTGTGGTTTTTTTCATTTAATCTGCACTCGAGTGTTTGTAATCTACGAGTTTGTTTGGTAATCTTCTCTTTTCATTGACTGCAGCCGTTCATCTCTTTAGAGATGGTTTCGATCCCATTGAAATAACTGTAGTTGAACGCTTAATTGTCAAATATGACAAAATACAGACTATCGTCAAAGAACTTACAAAATTAAATAGCAATTTACAAAATGTTTCCCATAATATATTTGATTTTATTGATCGCTTTTGATACAAATTTAGCCGATCGCAATAACATTTTCTGACGTTGTTTTGTATACTTAAACAATTGCTAAATTTATAGAAACCGGTTCTATATAATGTAGTCTTTATGATAATATCAAATTCATTCAAAAATATTTAACATAGCTGCGTAAAAAAAATATTTGCCCAAATAATTACAAAGACTATTAAATCAAAGTAAGCGAATCTAATCTTTCATCGGCTGATAAAAAATAAGGGTAAATAGTATATAAAAAAAAAACAGAAGAACTTACGATTAAATCTAACTGATTTGAAATCGTGCGTATGTAAATATATTCCCTTTGTTCTATAATTTCGAGTAATTATGTTTCATGATATACGTATTTGCATATAATGGTAATCAGTCGCGGTTTACGATTTATCTCCAAGCACTAGACCATTGTAAACTGAATTTTAATAGAAGTTCCTATTTATTTATTTGATAAGTACAATTTTTATAAAACAAAAATCGTTCAGTATCAGCATTATGTTCTTTCACATACTCATATTTTTACGGCTTTAATTTCTAAATAGTATCGTGGATGTATTTCTTCTATAGTATTTTATTTTATAAGCATGAAAATAATATGAAAATTGGCACGTATTGTAGAATTTTCGATGGTGTAAGATGTGGTTTTGATTTAATCTTGAAAAATATTGGCCGATTATCTTTTATACAATAGATGGACCGTTTTGTCTTAATGTTTGCAAAAACACCTGGGCTACACTACAACATTTGATATCTTAACAAAGGCGAGTACTTTTTTTTCTAATTTCAAACAATGTTTGATTTTTTTTTTAACTATTTTTACATTCCAGATGTTCTGGAAAAACTTTACAGACAGCAAAACAATGCGATAAAAAGATTTGTTTGTTGCAATTTTTTTATAAGGCTTTTTTTTTTTTTAAATGTACAAAATTAAATTGGTATTGAACGGTATAGTGTTTTTTGTCGGTACAATAATATATATTATACATGTATATGACTACGAGAAATCATACAAGATATTAATAGATTTAGGTATCTCCTCTTGAACAATTCTCACGGTTTCTGCGCATGGACCACATATGATGTCCTCCACGCGAGCCATTATATCTGAATTGAGTGAATTATCACGTCACGGGTATGTAAGTGAAGTCTTAACGATCTCCGGTGGTCGGTGTTTTATTGTCGAATGACATTGCCAACGATAGACATAAAAATCGTGTAACGGACTGACGTCGATGATCCGGACGGAAAACATAAATATGACAAATGTTACAAATGACTTGAACAATATTGCATATAATTACTAAATTTTCTTATAACAATCCTTTAGATGAAGATTTCCAAGAATATCTATCTATAAACCGATATATGTTACTGCATTGTGCGCTAAAATGGGTTTAAAATAATTGTGATGTGCTAACGAATTGGTGTTAAACGCTTGACGCACTACCAAATGCTTTTATGCGAATAGCAATGTCGTGTTCATCGATTATTTTCATGTAAATAATTTTCACTTATCTCATTTATTATATCATGTTATGTTCAGACAGATGTCTGATTTATCAGTTAACATTAAGTTAGTCGCTGCGCCTGTCAACCGTATTAAGAAACAATGTATACATCTAATGATTCTTTCCAGACACAATGAGTGAGTAATAACCTATTGATAAATTTTGGAAGATTCATAAAAAATCATTTTATTACACCAATTAGGTAATTCATAAAAATGTCATTTATTTTAAGTATAATTTTAATTGCGAAATAAACAAAGTTCTCAAGATATTTAAAATCCGACCTACCGCAACGATACAAATTAATTGTAACCAAAGTTGCATTGTAGCACATTCAAACATATAACATGTTTCATCAATGAATACGAAACTATCCACGTCAACAAATCCACGCGAAACTCTTAAGTCATTACACTCCATTCTTAAACGATCACGTGATATAAATTTCTAGAAGTCGTCAGAGTAGATTTCACGTTACCCTTTTTGTACTAAAACTCGTTCGATAAAGTAAGAAAAAACCAACGAAAGAAATTTGAACAATTATAATAACATTTTACATAAATTACCAATCTGATGATCTTTCTTTGTTTTCATTTCATATATTCAATTATCGTATTATTTTTTAGACATTCTACAAATAACTCAAGATATGTACCTCAACTCGGGTGAATAAATCAAATATTTAAAGTACTAGTCAAAATATTTTAAGCTCTACCGATTTTTACATCTCTTGATTATTACTATAAGAATTAATAAAACACATAGCCTAATAATATTAACAGATATTATTTGTTATTAGACCTACTTGTCTCTCGTTCAAATACTAGTTTTCTATATTCCTCAAATTTCAATTTTGAAAAAATGTTTCATTAAACTTGGAATTATAAATACGTTTTCATTTAAAAATTACCCAATATAAGTAAACAATGTGTTTTAGACGTAATTTTTATTGCAGTTGTTCTCAGACTCATAATTATTATCTGTAAGAAATGACAGCAACCGTTGGCTAAAATTGAAAATGTGTTAAATGAATACCTGTATAACAAATGGAAAAATTCAACCGATAAATTGACAGTGACCATTAAACGAAGTCGATTATTGACCAGCAACATATGTAAAAGCTATGACGATGACTACCAACGTTTATTACTCATTGTTCTTATTGCACTAGATAGAACGATGTTATCTTTTGTGCCGGACATTCGATGTACAAGTTTATATTATGTTGCTAGTCAGAGTTCGTATGTGATTCGCAAAATGGTGTCAGCAATTTTGATTTATAATCGGTTTTTGACAATAAAATACCGATAAAAAGCACACACTCAACATTTGTATAATGTATACATCAGACTCTTTTTCTTTTCGATTGCCTTAAACGCCATAATTTACGACCGCCGAGTATTTCGAAGGTATTTCCAACTGGTTGTGTGTGTGGCGTATGCCTCAAGGGCCCGTCTGCTACGGTGGTGCATGCGTTCGTGCATTCTCCGGCAGGTTCTTCTTCTTCTTCTCCTCCCACACTCCCACTGTGTTGCGCCTAGCTAAAGTACACCAACATAACCTTACGTGTCTTTACCTCCACCAGTATATGTATACGTTTTTTATTAGTCCATATTTATTTATTATTATTTTTACTTTGTCGTTATTGAGAATAAACAAATTAAATACTATGTGGAAAATATCTTGTCGAGTGTAAATATAAATGAGCTGTACTTATTTTATAATGGCACATATCAATACCATAAATATCAAGTTAAAGTTACCCTAAACTCCTTTAATATCCTATTCCTTAATTCTGAAAAACGTTAATTCCTTTTTTTAAATTATATTAATATTAGCTCTTCAATAAAACACCGAGAGAGTATTTTCGTATTGGATACCAAGTGTATTCAGCGTATGAATTAGATAGGCTAAAATAACGGAAAGCCCTCGGGGTTCTCTCAATTCGACGTGGTTTAGGGTCGTGGGACGGTTATAGCATTAATCAAATGGTGAAAGGGAATATATATATATATATATATTGGTTCGGTTAATAAATATAATTTGGTAGAACAAAAATCCGGAAAATGCTATTACGGCTATGGTTAATATATCATATATTATCCTCCTATGTTGTATATATATGTATTACAACAAAATGCGACAAATGTTTTTTATTTACTTTCATGACTTCGACATAAATATTATATTGAGGGTAACTTTTTTAAGACCATTGTTCAGACCATTAACTTTAATAAAATCGACTTAGCAAATTCAATATAACAGCTATTATAACTTGAGTTTTAATAATCTGAATTTTTCGATGAATTCTAAGATTAATATATTATAAATTAATCATATGTAATTATTTTAACTAGTTCACAGTAAACTAAAGAACACTTTTGGCAAAGTTCTAATAGATAAAGACCTAGATTTAATAGGGTCTAGAAAAAAATAATCAACTTAAAAAAAAAATACAAGGCTAAACTTAGGTCCCCTAAATATGAACAGAACATTAGACTAATTATCTAGCTGTCCAATTCTGAGATTGGCAATACTACGACATTGAAAATATTTATCATCTATTTTAATATAATTTCAAATTAAACACTTAAATAGAGTATAAAATAGAAATAAATAAAAATTAAATTTTACTAATTTCTTATTTTTATAATTTTTAAAAATATCCAATTATTTGTAATTTTTATAAAATTCTTAAACTTTAAGAACTTTACGTTATTATAAGTATTTTATGTTTTTTTGTATTACAGTGGAATTTTTTAAAATTAAATTTAACGAAGTAAATTATTTTTTTTCATACAATAACCATTTTGTTTATTTATTATTATTATTTATTTTTTTTTTGAGGCACATAAAAGATTTATTTTAATGATTTTAGAGTCAAATAAACCGCAATATGCACAAATTAAACACTCACCTTAAGTTAGCAATTAGCAAAATAATCCAAAACAACGCCTTAATGGTAAATTCTTTCCGGACTTTGCGCATAATGGGTCGATGGACCCTTAAGAAGTCGGCGGCATCCCACCCCCGACGGGGCCGTTCACGTTCAGCGCTTTCGCAATATTTTGTCTAAAGTAGTAATCTAAGTATTATCCGTACCGCAAAGTTGAGTCATCGTAAAGTAAATAAGGGATTTGGTTAGTGAACGTAAATAAATTTAAGTACAAACTCTGTTACACACTCTTCTTTCGAAATAACAACTGATCCGAAGCATAGCCTATTAATTAAAAACAAATTTGTCGCACTAGTATCGTACAGTTACGGGCGTCGATCAGTCGGAGAGGCGACGGAGACTTTAATGCCCTGACGATTCGGCGGTCTGAGCGCTTTAGAGTCAACTAATGGAGGGGACAGAATCCACTGCTGCGACACGCCTCTCGGATCTCGTAATTGGCTCTACGCGGTCTTCGGGTTGACGTGCACGCCTAATAACCGCAACCTATTATGTCACGGGGCTAGACCCCCAGGTCATCACCGTTGTGTTCGGTATTTATATATGTATACTATACATCGCATGCAATGGTAGTATTTTTACTGCTAAGTAAAATGTATTATTGAATTTGTACCTTCATGAATGTTTATATAGATGGCCCAGAATTTATATAAATATATATAATAATTTCATCTTCTCTCTTTTTTGCACCTTGAACAACGCCCCCTTCTTTTGTTGTGCATGCCGTATAGGATTCTCTTTGATAGTTTTCATACTACATTATACATATGGTCTGTGAGGTTTTCAATGTGTGAGGCAATAATACACGGATAGGTCTCAATTAAATCGGTTTCGGTCCCGCGAACACGAAATGACCGGTTAATTATAACATGTGCATTGCTCTATGTAATGGTGCGCGACCGCGTTATTATAAAATACCTTAAACACAACTGCAGTTTTTTGAGGACCCCTTTGATACAGCATGAACACTATATATAATAAAAAGATTATGTGGCGCAATGGTAGTAGGCCACACGCAGCTATTTGCAATTAGATTTACAGGGTCGAAATGTTGTCTCTTTCGTTTTAATTTTTTCTGCTCGCTTCATAGTTTCAAAGAAAAATGTTTGAATTAATATAATAAATTGCTTATCATATAAAATAAGTCTCTTGGATTTAAAATACCTTACCGATTTATTTTTTTAAGTCGTGTATCAGAAAATTTTAATGTAATACAGACAGGGCTAGAAATAATTAATTTATTGTTAAAAGATTGATTAAATGTTTTGAGACTAATATATGCTTGACATTTTTGATATTTAAAATATATAAACTTTGTACATTATAATTAGGGCTAGGATTTTGTAGCATTTGTATTAAAGCCTTAACAACAGCCGAAAAATATTTTATTCCTTAAAAATAGCAAATAATATTGGCAAACGTTGTGTAAAGTTGATGGAATACTTTAATAGAAAATCGACCAAAAAACAAAGAACAAAATCAGTAATCTTTTGCTAGTGGGATTGAAAAAATTATCAAAATAACAGGCACGTTAAACATATCATTAAACAGTTTTCTAGTCACAACGAGTCAAGATTCGTAATACCAACTGAGTAGTTTGTTTTATTAATTTATTTTGAGTAATACTGTTTGTTCATAGAAGTTTCTTTAATAATTATACTTTTATTGTTATTTTTAAATTTTTATCATACTTTATAATTAGTATGGAAAATATATTTCTTAAATCAAAATACTATTAATACTATTTGATAATTATTTTTTGATAAAACCAGTATTTAAGATGAGGAGGACATAACTCAATTGTATTCTTTAAATATCACAATTTATATTACAGAGTATTCTGGTATTATTTTTAGTTTCGATGCGAAGCTGAAAAGGTATTAATTTTTGTATAGCGTGTTAATTTATTCATTTTTTTTTCGTCTATTATTTTTTCTCAACTCCCAATGGACCGATTTATTTCAATGAACGTCAAAAGATTATAAATCATATTTAGTTGTTCATTATAGTTCAAAATTTGACAAAATTAATCTGTTAAAAATATTTATCAGATTTACACAGATGCATTTTTTTAAGATAGTGATTAAGATCACTATCAGATATCATTTTAGCTTCTTTTTTATTTATCCCTTAAAGTCTATGGCTGAATGACAGTAGCGGTAGTCTATAGGCGAAAGCTAGTAGTAGTAGTTTATATCAGTAGCGTATCCCAATATTAAGTCTAACTCATACGATTACACTAATCCTGAGATACCAAATCGCGTGGGTTCACCAGTGTAAAGCTCTGCCTACATCAAACATTTTTAATATATAACAGTAGTCACGTCGTTAAAACTTTTTTTTGTACAAATGACAATTATTTCCGTTAATTGTTATATTTAACCAATTTATGTCATCCTATGAACTAAGGTTATGGCGTATAGCTATTGTGCATTGTTGAAAATTAATTATACCGTAAGGTATGATTTTTGGAATATGTTAAAAACATACTTTTTTATTATTTATTTCTTATTGAAAAAAAATTTTAATTAATTTTTTTTTTGAAAATTTCAAAAGAAACTATTTATTATTATTTTTCTTCTAACAAAAATGATTGATGGGTCAAATTAACAACTTTAGGATAAGTACTTATTGAGTTACAAGCATTTTAATATATTGAGTGAGTATGTACCACGGACAGAGTATTCATTATAAATATACACCAATAAGAGCTGTAACTCGCTCAAAAAAATATTTCAGTGAAAACTTTATATTAAGTCAGGATAATAAAACGTATCAATAATATTATAACTATAACGTTAAAAATTAATAAAAAAAACCAAAAATATGTGATATCAATATGTGTAAAATATCGTTAAACATGTACAACTTTTAACGTAAAACAATTTAAAAGGAGTCTATATAAGAAAAAAATAGTATTTTGCATTGTTATTGTTAAAAACTGCTGATGATGATGAATTATATTTAGAACTCTTTTAACGTTGAACATAAAAATGTAGTAATATTAAAACGTTAAACACGAAAACTGTATAACTTTATTAAATATTTTAACGATAAGAAAGTTTTCTTTTAATCTGATCCCGTATTAAGTTCAAAATAAGTTATAATTATTTTATATACAGAATTTTTTTCTTTTTTAAAATATCAGCCAGTATTTATAAAATTTAATGTAAATATTCTCTGAATCACAAATATGATATAGTGATTTAATAAAAAATAGTACCATATTTTATCTGTCATCCTTGCATTCAATTCATAAAATGAAATTAGTCTTCAATGAAAAATCAAAATAATGAATGAAGTATCAAAAAACATATGAGGGTGACTTTATTTATATTTAAGTTTAGTCACGCTATGGAATTTTAGTAGAAAGAAACTCACTATTAGTTGTTGAAAAAAAAACAAAAGACAAAACGTGATTGTTAGTGTGTGCTACAACGATAATTATGAGAAGAACAGACGAGAAAAAAGAAACTGTACAAAATAAACCCTAATGGGATAAAAGCAGTCTGCCTTTTAGTTGACTTGACTAATGAATAATGGTTAAAAATAAAAATTAATAGTGTACAGTATTGTTACAAGAACTACTGAGATGTATATTGAATAAGAAACTCTGTCTAATGAATAAATAAACAGTTCAAAGCTTATAAATATAAACAAATTATCGAACTACGCACAGTTTGTCTATTATCAACATTTTTTATAGTTGTAAAAAATAAATTTTACTATCAGAACCCAACCAAAAAGTACAGCAAGTTTTAAATAAATTAAATTGTAAAAAAAAAATTTCAGTCATTAAAAGATATTTGGTCACCTTTCCTATATTTTTAGCTTTAAAATGTAATTTATAATATAACAATTCTTTTAAAACTTTGGAAATTTAGGTGTACTAATGAATAAGTAGTGTTAGTGTATAAAATGAATGAATAAAACATGACATTACATTAAACAATGATCAATTTTATCAAAATTTAATCAAGTCATTAGAAGCGTATTCATTTTCAAGGGAAATGTTTTAGCAAAATAAGTTGATAATCTTTCTTTAAAAATTTGTTTCTTTAAGAAAATATTTTCCTCCAATTTAATCAAATTTGATTAATAATACTTAAATTTATTACTTAAGATATAATTTTAAGTGTAACAACAAATTTATGACTATTTTTAGTTATTGTTTAACAATTTTAAACTATCATTAATTATGAATCATGGTTATGAAAAATGAAATGTAGTATCTCTTTAATATTGAGAAGCATTCCTTCATTTACTTACTGTCATGTACCATAAAAATTAATTATAATAATTAATGTAATCCAATTGTTATTTAATTTTATTTCCTACATAATACTTCAAGATGATAATATTTAAGAAGGGAAATAACCATTTTTAAAAATTTTTAATGACTATTACATTTTTTTTCAACTGTAGATAAATTATATAAAATATATTAAGTAAAAAATTACTTCTTTATGCTAAGTAGTATTATCATAATTAAACTGTTAGAAAATATTTATTCATTACCTAGCCTAATTAATCAGTCTTGTATTTAGAGGATCATTGACTAAGCCATGTAAATATTTTATCAAGCAGTGTAATGTTCGTTAAGTTAGTATAATAATATGATATAAATAATAATTTATATCATTAGAAAAAGTTATTTTTTGGTTATTATACCATCAAATGCGATTGAAACATTTACTTTAATTATTTTCAAAATAATAAAAAGCTCTTAATATTATTTTCTACAACTCCTGTGACTACTTGTTCTTCAGAAAGATAATTTTTTCACTTAAAAGGATAAAAACCTACTTGAGATTAGCTATGAGCAAACAGAGTTTAAACAGTCTAGCATTATTAAAAATTTACCCAGAAATTTCTATAGAACCAGAAGAAATTGTTGATTTATACCCTAATATTTTTTTGGTTTAACAACCAAGAAGATTTCAATTATTGTAGATTATAATCTATGACAATTTACATCCATTTCACTATATAGACGAAGTGATTTAAAATTGTATATTTTATTATGTCAATATTAAGCTTTTTTATGGCTATTTTCTGCTTTATTATTCTATTAGCTTCGATACGAAGCTGATAAGGTTTTGGTTTTACTATGTGTTTTTTTATTTTTTTTTTTGTCTGTTACCACTTTTTCTAAACTCTCACTGAACAGATTTCTTTCAGCGATATATCAAAAGATCACAAATCGTATCTAGTCGAAGACATTACTCTCAAAAATTGAAAAAATTTTCCTCGTTCCCCGTAAATGAGGGGAAATCTTTAAAAAAATTACAAATTTAAAAGTCGCTAATTTTTTTCATTTTTTCAATTTTTAGTAATTAAAACTGCCATAACTTTTTAAAAATGACGAAATCAATATAATTTTTTTTTATAGATGCATGATGTCTTTACCTTTCATTTGGTATATTTTTTTATAAATCTGACCCTTTACCTGCTCACAGGGGAGGATTTAAAATGACAACTTTTTCACAAAAAATTAACTTTTTCAACTTAACTATTGAAATTGTTCCGGAAAGCCTGACACTTTTATATATATCTTAAATTAAAGCTAATGTAATATACTTTATCATGGACTTTATTTTGTCTTCGTGGTGAAAATGGCCAACAAATGTTATTTTTGTATGAAAATTCTCGATTTTGTATATTACATTTTTAACTTTATTATGATATAACTTATTGAAAAGTGTATGGATCAATACAATTTTTTTATGAGAAATAATATTTATATCTCTCTTTCATTCGACATACTTTATCTTAATCAGGATATAAATAAGGAAATAGCAGATCATGTAGCTTTTGGAATAATCCACCAATTTTTTAAAATTAAAAACTATCTACAGATTTGCATCGAAGCATTTTTTTTTGATAGTGATTTTAATCACTGTCAGATATCATTATACATGATACAACTATTCACGTCACCACTATGCCGCGACCCACCTGTGCTGGGTTTTTTAATTTGTGTTTTAAATTTATGTTAATGTTAACAAAAGCTATGAGCAAAAAAAAATTTTCTATGGTACCTTATTTTCTGGTTTTTATCGTAACTTATCCCTTAAAATTTTTTGTGCTCCCACACCCATACTCCTAATAATAATAGAAACATTAGATTTTTATATAGTTCATACTAGTTAACAATGATAAACATAATAACTACCGTTAAGTTTGTTTTAGTTGATTACTCCTATATTTAACTTTAAAAAGTTTGTTATTTTAAAATATAAAAATGTATAATTGGTTAACTTAAGTTAATTAATTATACATTTTTATAATATATACTATTGGAAGTAGGCCAAATCTCCAATTTTATTTATTTGAATTATTGAAGTTTAAGATACATTTGGAAGTGGCCAATTTTGTATTTGATAGCTAACTTATGACAATTCTACAGTATTAATATAAATATTTTTATTCATTTTAAAAATTCCAGTTCTTATATTTTCGAACTATTATGAAATTTTGTTAGTCTAAGAAATTTGTTAACCTATTCCTAATTATCACATATAACTTTTCAGATCACAGTTAATAAATACTTATTAATCATGGTCTATGGTTGTACATCATTGGGGCTAGCTTTTCCATTGACTTTGCTTAATCTACATTTTTGGTCAAATTAGCTTAACAAATGAGGTTTTTTTTTGGTTTTAGCCTTCTATTTGAAAAATCATAGGTACGACTCTTATGGGCTTTTTAATCTACAACAAAAAATAATAATTTGATGACTTATAGATCAATACTTTGAAAAATACACACTTTTTAACTAAAAATATGTAACAGGTATGAAATTACTACTTCTCTCTAAAATTATGCACAAGTAATATTTAAATAATGATATATAAAAAATATTCCATTTCCATGACACCTATAGTGTAATATTTATTAATAATAGATTAATATTATATTGTAATTGTTTTAAAAAATCATTTCTGATGTATAGTGTATTGAATTTGTGGTAAAACAAAAAATTATAAAAATAGTTATGAGCTTTAATACCAACATCTCATATAATAAAGCACCTGAAAATAAATTATTAGCTTCAAAAATGTTGATACATGGAAGTCTACTTAAAATACAGGTATAAATTTAACCATTTATCTTCAATGACTAGTTCATTATAAGTAAATATTTAATTATTTATTTTAACTAACAGGATGTCGAAATTGGTGAAGCATTTGATTTATTAGATATCAACAAAACTAAAAAAATTTGTGTAAAAAACCTTAAATTTGCTCTTAAGGCATTAGGACTAGAACTTCCTCGGTGTCAATACATACGATTAAAATCTGATATAGAAAAAACTAGTGATGGCCTGATAGAAAAAAAAGTATTTATAAGAGAAATGCAAAAATTATTTTCTAATATTGACCCTAAAGAAAATATGATAAAAGCTTTTAAATTAATTGATGAACAAGACACAGGTAAAATATGCTTTAATGATTTAAAAAATATTGCAACTTTGTTGGGAGAAAAAATAAGTGATCAAGAAATTAATAAAATGTTAGACATAGCAGATGTTGATGGTGATGGTAAAGTTAATTTAACTGAATTCATACAACTCATGGAAAAAGCTTGTAAAATACTTTAAAAATAATTTAATGTTACATTCATTTATTTTTTATATTATAAATAATTTCAGTTAGTTTAAAAATATAAAAACACTTAAATCAATACTATAAATTGAATTAATATTAAAAAAAATTAAATTTATAAAATGTAAAGTACATATAAACATATATAATAAAAAACAAGTAATTATACGTCATTAAATTGAGAGTTTTCTACTTTTAACTATAAATATAATGCCCTGAGAACACCTTCAGTAATTATATCTGGTAAACATGAGTTTTGATTATGTGCATTTTTTACTGAAATACCTTCAGCAACTAAATGAAAGATAGGGCGTTGATACTTTACATTCATTCTATTACTGAAAAAAAGTAATTTATATATTAAAAAAAATATATAAACAGCTTCATAACGAATGTCACAATAAAGAGTAAAAAAAAAAATGTACGTTTATTTACTCATCTCTTCAGTTTAGAAAGAAACATCTAGTAGGTAAAATATTAACATGAAAATTTTTAGTTTTCATAAAGGAAATATAATTCATATAACTTTACAATAATAGGTAATATCTAAGAAAATAACTATTTAACAACATTTAAACTATTATGTTTAAAGTTATTAGCAATCTGATAAAAAGAATGGAGTAAAGTGTGGGACAGTTTATTTTTTTCTCTATGTATTAATGAACTGAACTACTCTTTTCAACTTGAAAGATGCTAAAAACTTTTAAAATACTGATTTAAAAGTTGTTATTATCCAATAATTTTCAATATTTTTATGTTGATAAAACATATAATTTCATTTAAAATTTATATTAATACAGCTTAAATAAGTTAGAGTTGGGATAGAACCAACTTTTTTTTATATAATATGAAAAATATTAACTCTAGAAAAGAAAAGATTATGATATGTTTATTTTTTTTTAATATTTTGTGAGTCATTCTTAAACAATCACCTGTATAATATAATTACAAATTAAATAATAAGTACTTACTTTGGCTGGCATTTTAATCCAAGAAAATCCATTACATGTAAACAGCCATCTTCAATTTTAAAAACTGTTTGTAAATATCGTTCCAATCCTGCCCTTCGCTGTTCAAGTACTTTTGGTTGAGAACATCTTATCCTTTTAGATGGAAAAGGTGGTGTTGAAACAAATTTTCTCAACTATAAATCCATTATTATGGAATTATATCTATTATTATTATTATTATTATTACTTAAAATATATTGTGATGTTAAAATAATAAAGATATATCTACAAAAAAAAAATGACATTTTAAGATAGAAGACTTTAAAGTCAAATATAAAAAATTATATTTTTCATATTATATTATGCCATTATTTTATACAATACAATGTGAACTAGAAGATTACTTTCATATAACTTACCTCTCTATGAAATGAATGAAATGCACTATATCGTTTTTCTACATATTCAAGACAACCTCTTGAACTTACTCTAATTGTGTAAACATAATGTGGTTTCACATCCTGTACTAATCTATAATTGGGTATAGTTATTTCAGTCATAATACTGCGAACATTATAAATTACAAATTACGTATTTAATTACGTATTGTTAATAATTATGTATAAAGATACGTTAAAATAAATAAAATATAAATATATCTACGCATTGATAATCAACCTTACGTAGTTAAATCACAAAATCAAAATTTATTAATAATAATTATTTAAATAAAATAAGATTAGTGTAAAAAAATCTTGAAATAAATATTCAATCAATGAGTTTTGAGTGGGTTGTTATCATGCTCTAAATATAATTTTTATTTACTTAAAATTCATGGTTAAAACACAGTATAGATAAGATCTTATCTCTTCTGTGGTTAAAATACAAACATAAAATAGATATAATCTATTTGTGATATAAATTCCAAAGTGGATACATCCATTTTGATAAGGTCTTAAAAGTTTGGCTGAGGAACAGATTTAAGTATATCTAAATCTCTGGACAGTGTTTTTATTATAGTTTTTTTTTAAATATATTTTCTTTACAATTGAAAACATTACAAGTTTTATTTAAATCATCATGCATGAAATTTAGATTATTACTTTTTTTATTATTATCATTATGGATTCATAGTATTTAATGTGTAATAATTACATTTTGTGCTTCTATAAACTTTTGTTTATTCATAAAAGATGATTTGTCATCCTTAAAGTATACATTTTACAAATAATTTTATAAATTAAAATATAAATTTTATTTTATTTTATTTAATTTTTCAAAATACTTATCTACTTTTTATTAATATGCCTGAAAGTATTAAGTGTGAACATTGTGAAAAATCCTTTGTTAACCACCGACATTATGAACTTCATGTTAATGGACACAAAAGAAACAGCTGTCAAATATGTGGCTTACCTTGCAATAGCCGTAAGATTCTTACAACACACATGTTAACAATTCATGAATCAAAGTTGAATCCTGAATTATTAAAATGTGAACTCTGTTCTAAAACATTTGTTCAGAAACGTTCATTGCACTCTCATTACAAGTCTATTCACAAAGATGTTGACCGTATTTGCTTAGATTGTGGACAAATTTTTAGTAACAAGATAAAACTTACAGAGCACATGTCCAAAATAAAACATGGAGCTAGTTTAATTTGTCATAAATGTGGAGAATCATTTAGTCGTAACCAACAGTATAAATTACATTTAAAAGTTTGTGTTATTATTGATGTTATATTTTGAATATTTTATATAATAAATTCCTTATTATTTTAGAGACATGACACTTACAAATGTTTTAACTGTAATGTTTTCTTTGCTAATTCCAAAAAATTAGACAAGCATTTGCAACAATGTATTACATTAACTAGTGTTCGATCGAAACCGATGAATCATATTAAAAACAAAATCAATAATAAAGGTATAATATACTTTTCTAAAATTATAATTTATTAGACATTTTCATAAATCTATATTTAACATATTTCAAAACAAAAGATACAAGTAATTTTTTTTTTTTTGTCATGAAAATCTTGAATAATTTTTTGCTTAATGACCATCATTTGTTTTGGGTTTTATTATCAATGTATTGTTATTTGAATGCAATTAGTTACATTTAACTATGAGTAAAAGTATTTTCTTTTTTAATTCACTGAATATTAGCAAAAAGTGATTTGTTATCTTTTACATAAATATGAACATAAATATCTATATAAGGTAATTTATTTATGTTAATAATAAAATTAATATTAATATAATACTGTAAATGAATTATAAGTTTTAAACTTTTATGACAAAATTTAGGGAAAATTTTTTAAATAATAGGTTATGTTTTATTATACATATCTGTCCATAAAAAAAAATATTATTTTACTAATTTACAATTAAAAAAATTCATTTTTACTGAGCTATCTAAATTGAAGTTTATTTACTAAAAAGATTTATCTATATTTCTAAAACTTAATTATTGATACACGATAATCAGTAGTATTATATCAATAATTGAAATAGCTTAGTCTGACTATTACTACTGGATTTCAAACTGAATATTAGTTAAATTTTATATATGTTCATTATTTGTTGTTACTCAACAAGAATATTTGGTTTAACTAAACATTATGGTTGGATCAGAATAGATCTGAAAATGTTTAATACATTTTGAGTGTTAGAAAGATTTTATGTTATTATATTTAATTTTATTGTATATGTTTAAAAAAATTTTATTTTTTCAAAAGCCTACAACTTTGTAAAAAAAAAAAAATGTTATCAAAATTTGGCCATGCAAGCATATAGATAATTTCAATAATATAAATGTAGTGTGTTTAATAATTAACAAAACCTTAAAAAAGTATACTTTTTCATCTAAACATATTTTTACACAAAAAAATACTTAAACGTCTTATTTGAGTAATTAAAAAGAATTAAGTAAAACCTAGTCAAAATAGGTTAAACCTAAATATATTAAATCAAATTAGAATTTTAGATTGAGGAAAATTAACTAAGCTATATATTAAGCTTATATGTGTAATTAATTTAAGATTTAATTATAATGTAATATACTACGTTTCTCATTATTGTATGTTGTTCACAAAAATATAAGTTACTAAATGTTTAGTAACTATTTTGTTTAAAAAAAAAAAATTAAATTTTTTCTTGAAATATTAGTGATATGTATGGCCATAATATATTTCAATTATATTGTTGTTTTAAATCATTTAAATTAAAATAGTGTTAAAAAATTCTAGTGTTATACGATTTTTAAATTATATTTTTAATTCATTTTATTCTTTACAGTTATTATTTATGAATGCATTGTATGTAAAGAAACTTTTGAAAAAAAAAAACATTATAGGCGACACATGAAAACGGCTACTCATACTTCAGATAATGTTGAAACTGATACATTTTATTGTGCTCACTGTCCAAAAGTGTTTTATTATAAATTTAAATTGTCAAATCACTTAAAACAAGTACATTTTAAGCAATATAATAATTACACTTGCAACTTATGTGGCAAACATTTTCTCTACAGAAATAATTACAAAAGACATAAAGACTCTCATTTAGAAATTCGTAATTATGTATGTGAATACTGTGGTGCTTGTTTTTATCAAAAGTGTGCTTTAATAGACCATCAAACAGCCATTCATAATGAAGAAAAAAATTTTGTATGTAATGAATGTGGTAAAAATTTTAAACTAAGATCAATTTTAACCAGGCATATGAAAAATCACTCTGAAACAAAAATATTAGAATGTCATTGTAAAAAAGTGTTCAAATTTACAAGTAATTTACGTCGTCATCAAGTTAATGTGCACAATCAAATAAATTATAACCCAAGTAAAATAAAACGATTTGTACAAGATGATAGTCGTTCATCACCATTAATGGTTAAGCAAGAAAAGAAAAAGTTGGCTAATTTTAAACATTCAAATTATAGCAATTTTATGATAGGTGATACTGACCAATATTCAATAATGGAATACTCTGATAACTTAGACTTAAGTAATGTAGAAATTGCAGAAAAAGTCTTACAAGTTGCTTCATCTACAGATTATAAAATTGAATGTGAAGAAAACTCTTGTTTTCCTGGAATTCATCCCCCCATTGAAACTTCTTTAGTGTGTAGTTTAAACGACGGTACAGATTTATCACCTAATTCTTCACAACAATATGTCTTATCTGACTATGTAGTTCCTCATCAATTTCCATTTCTCAACATTTAAGACATATTTACTTACTACTTAATATATATATTTTTTTTGTGTGTGTATATTACTTTTCTTCTTATACATATATTACTGTTTTTTTGTGTTATATTAAGTACTATCTTGATAAGACTTAATAATTATTAAATCTTATATAATTTATATTTTCTTTAAAGAACTATTGCAATAACCAAAAACTTCTCCTGTATTTTAAGTTAGTTGATTAAAATAATTTTATAGTATTTTATCATTTCATTAAAATATCTAGTATACTCTAAGTAAATAAATTGTTCCACTAAGTAATAAGACATTATTGCAACAATTGCAATAATTTCTTTGATTAATTTTTGTTTTTAAACAATTAAAAATGTGAGGAACATTTTTATTGCATTAGTTTCTTTTAATTGTTAAGGTTGTTGTGTAAATATTTATTTAATTATTTCTGAAATTCTGTTTTTTATTTAAGTATTGTAATATTTTGCCTTAGTAAATAAACAGCTATTACCTCTTCTTATATTTTTTTCTTCATATTAAATGTCGATTATAATCAAAAATAAAAATTTTATGTCTGTAATATATTAGATAATAAATGCATTGACTGAATGAAATCAATAAATCATTACAGTATTCAATACTGATATACAATTGTTTTAAAATAATGGTCTGTACAAGCTTTAGTTAAACACGTTTAAGGTGATTATAATTTTTGATCAGATTATTAGTTATCAGTGGACAATCGGAGTTTCGATGAATAAACAGTCTTAAATCCTCGTCTTTATCTATATTCCTATTAATAATTTTATTAAATCGACACACGCCTATTGTAAAGTTATCTTGGTCGAAAAAAGACATTTCACTAGATCGAGCCATTTTTTCATCTGCATCAGCCATAAAACGATTTTCCAAACATCTAAAGAAATGTTCGTTATTGAAATCTTTCTTAATTAACAGAATAAAACCTATTAACTTTTCTTAAAAATGAATGAAGAAATGAGAAAAAAAAATGTATTCCGATTATGAAGAATGTTAGTCATTAAGTTTCTGTAGCACTTACATTGCACAAGGGGTTGGGACCTGTTCACCCAGGTCTAATTTTTTAGAAACTATGGGTGTTGTTGAAGGGTCTTTTTTTGTTAAGATATTTGGCTGTTTTTTTTTTAAACCATCTAAGTCTTTGTCAATAAAATCATCTATCTCCGATCCCGAAGACATTAACTCTTCATATACATTGTTTATACAATTATCCTGAGCACAGTAAAGCCAATAAATAATCTCATTTACTCGATGCTCCATGAGTTTAAAATATTCGACCATATTATTTTGGTTTGGATGTTCATGATGACCCAAAAACGACGACAACGGACTTCGATCAACCTTTAACAAATCGCATAATTCTTCAATAGCTTCACAAATTTTTTCCCATTCTGTTTCTAATTGTTTATGTTTACATCGCAAATTTTTTAACCAGTTTGCTTCATCTTTAAAAAATTGAATACTGCGAGCCAATTGATCTCTTTTTATTCTTTTTACCTTAGATGACTCAAGGTTCTTTTTTAAAATTGTAGCCCTTGAAATTTTAGTCATATTTTCCAAACGATTTAACTACAATCATCAAAAATGTTATTAAATCAGTTGAAATTATAAATTTATAAATTAAATTTATTGTAAAACCCTAATACATAAATTTTATCATACATATAATAAATTTTTATAAAAAACGCTTTTTTTTGAATGACTAGAATTTCCTTGCAGCAGTAAACCTAGAATTTTTCAATGTGATGAGAGCAAAATCCAAAAAAAAGTTTTAGCAACTTTATAAGAGATTTTATATCTAAAATGTTGGTTTAGAATGGACGACGGAGAGCTTAATAACAAAGAGTGTTTTTTCTACCTCTGTAAATTGAACCAGTTTTAATTAGATTTGATGTAGAACTATCATACTTAATTATAGAGTTTTCAATACAAGTTCAAACAAAGACTTTTTAAGTATAAATGCCTTGCAAGTTTTTTAAATATTGGCCATTATAAATTTTGCTACCTGAATACCTATGATCGTGGAAGTTTTAATTCGTAACCTGTCATAAAATTTCAAAACATGTTTCAGGTGATAAGGATAGTTCTATGAAAGTGTAATTTTGGTAAACATTCATTAACTATTTAATGTGATATGTTGCAAGGAAAATGACTTTCAATATTGAGGACTTATGATATTATAATTATGAATAAATATTGAATTTATTATAAATTATCTTAAATGTAGGTGTAATATTTTTTAAACATCTTATTGTTTATAGTTTGATATAAACAATTACTTGTAATTCCATTGCCATAATCAAATCAAACATACTTTTATTATCAGTACTCATATTAAATATGTTATCAATAATGTTGGCTATGTTTTTATCACTTGCATAACACATTAAATATTTTATAAAATTCTCTGCTTCAGCTCTTAAAGCTGTAAATTCAATTTCATTCTCTTCTTTCTTTTCGGAAGTTTCATTTTTTCGCTTGTTTGCTAAAATCCGCAAAACGATTTTTGTTTATCATTAAATAATGTATAAATAATATGTTTAACTCGTATACATTTATGTATATAATTTTTTTAGTTTAATATAAAATTAAATAAAATTAATGACTCTCTGAAGTTAATAACTCCTGTAAAAAATTTTGATTCAAGATAGATAATTAATATTATTGTTAATATTAATATTAATTAATTATATTGTGACTAATGTGAAATTCAAAAATAATGTTAATCATTTATTTAAATAGGATAACTATTAAAAATTCTATTTTAGATTTATTTATTCAACAACGTGGGTTTATTAAAACAAGTTTTTTTATTAAAAGATATTCAATTTAATCATTAGACTTATTATTTCGTAAATAATAATCACTTTACAAAAATTTTTTGTAATTGGTAAACGATTATAATTAATTTGTCAACTCGGAGTGAATAGATTCTAACAAAAAATTTTTTAATACAATTTTTTTCTAAAAATATTTTAAAAGATTAATTACGTATCCTTAAAAACCTAAATAAAGTTCTTTTTATAACGAAATACTTAAATAAAAATTTAAGTTCCATAAAACTATTGTAAATTTGTTTTTAAATAATGTTTAATGAAAAAAAATCGTTGATTTGGTCTTAGAACCTTTTCAATTTCAAGTGACGTTTTAAAAGTTCAGACCTTGAGGTTTTAAATATTTTCTGACTAAATTATTAAATAAAAGTCTTTATGCTTAATTTTCATATAATCTCTAAAACAAGTTTTAATGGCGAACTACGAACTTCAATGTTTTATAAAATTTATAAATGCATAAAAATTTACTTTTTTTAGAGATAAATTTTGTCTGATCAAAATTCTCTTGGAATCTTAATTTATCCAACATCAAACTTAATTCACGTTCTGAACGCTGATTTTCACTTACTTTTGAATACATATCCAATCGATCTGTTGCATTATTTCTGTTAAATAAAAGTATTTGAATTATTATTACTTTTTGATTCTACAAAGTGATGAAGTTCAACAATCCGTATGGTCACAAAAATGGATCCAAGTCCAATAAACATATTGGAGTTGGATTCATTTGTGTTTAATTGAATTATAAAAAACAAAAATTAGATAAAGTGTATTAAAAAAAATAAAAATTTTAGAAAGTATAAGGTACATAAAAAAAATCTGATCCTTATTGCTATACATTGAATTTACACAAAACACTTTAGTAAAATTCAATCAAACTAAATTAGATTTTTTTGCAAAAAACTCCACAGTATTATTTTGTAACTAAAAATAAGAAGACTATAATGTATTATTTTTTATTATCTACCCACCTACCTATCCTTGAATGTTCTCGTAGCTTGCTTATTGAGGTCCGTTATTATTTGTCTACCTTTGTTCAATTTTTTCATTAGTGAATTATAAATGTTTTGTTTTTTTTGTCGTTGTTTCAATAGGTTTTCTACTTTAATTGAATACTGATTTTGTTTATTGATCAATTTATTGTAAATATCTATATTCTATGTGCAAAAAATGAATAAAATTGATCTAAGAAATAACTACATTGAATTTAATCGTTTGAAACAAAAAAAAAAATTGTTTCCGATTTATATTACTGACATTTATCAAATTTGATGTCCTGGCTTCTTTTTTTTTGTTATTAATAATAAGATTATCAAGTTCGGCGTTCCATTGCATAATATCTTCATCCAAGTCATTTTCTATTTTTTTTTGTTCTAACAACTCAATGTCCAATTTTTTTGTATCATGAATTAATCGTATGAATTTTGATTTATAAATCTTATCATTTTTGAGTCTAGTATTATTCGTTGAAACGTTTAAGTCAGTTATCAAGTTATCACGTTCCTTTTCCAACAATTCAATAGCCCACCTGACAAAATATAATTTTTAATGATATTAACTAACAGTAATATATATATATATATATAATTATTTACTTAAGGTATAGTTAAAACATATTAATAAAAAACTGTTCAGTAATTTTTTAAATTAATTACCAAATGAATTACTTAATAAATTTAGAACCATATATTTTAAAGTAAAACTAACTATAGTCAAATTTTAGTTTTTAGTTAAAACCCCCAATATTATAACTCTATAAAAATTAAATATCCTCAAAGTAAATAATAACTGAACTGAATTGTCCGTTAATTTTAATTTTTATGCATAGGCGTTCTCACAAGGAGAGGATTTAGGGATAGAGCATGCACTATGATAAAAATAAATATGAGGTAACGATATTTATAATTTAAATGAGTTAATAAAAAAATGTCTAATGTATAAAAAATAAAAACCTCTGAAAAATGAATATCAAAAAAAGATAAATATGAAAAGTATTGTAATATATTATGTACATGATTTATGTAATTATAATAAAATTGTAATAATATCAAATAAACGTTTTATACTTTCGTTTATTATGAGGTTCAAGTTTAATTTTATTTTTTAAAAGTTCATGTTTTCTATTTAAAAAGCTATACTGAAGCAATTCAGCTTTCAATATTTCACTGGTATTGTCTTCCTGAGGTATTATATTTTTCGCCATTATAATACAAATAAATGGATTAAATAGTTAATTATTTAGCAGATAATATACATTCTTCAAAAATCACACTTATCAAAAGAGAATCATATGAATTAAATGTAATTAGTATTAAGTACAATAAGATACTAAAATTTAACTAATGAAAAAGCTATTCTTAAAAATATTGACTTGTTACCATAGTAAAATTAATAGTTAATTTTATAATTAAGTTCATTCTAACTATAGACATATAAACAAATATTCATTTATATGTCTATGATTTTAACTTTAACATGGAATAAGTACCAAATTATTAATATTATTTTATTTGATTATATAACTATAATTCTTTTTACTTGTATAATATATTATCATATAATGATTTCTATGTTATTGTGATAAAAATATGTAATTTATGTATACAGGCCAGGTATTTGTTTTTGCACATTAAAAAATGTTTCAGAAGTATACAAATATTGTAGAGTGATTAGTTGTGGTCAGGAGCGGGCTGGTAAAAAAGACACAACATTCTACATAATTTTAGGGATAAATAACAAAAAGTATGACTGTAATAGTTATTTGCATGTGTTACGTCGCTATTTAGGGGTTTAGCCTAAATGCCCGTCGACAGTATTCTAAGGGACCAACGGGGGATAGCTGGCTAGGCTATATCTACCTTAGGTACTGAAGTTTCCTATTTAATTTATATTCCCTTAGAGGAACTACCAAGGGTCGCACTACAATATATATATATAACACTTTAGGTTAACAACGATATAAATAAATATTTATTAAGCAATTGAAATATTAAATGGATAATACAACCTGCTGGACACCTAGAGATGTTATAATCCAACAGGGAGCTGACGGCGACACACACACACACTATAATATACGGGGTAGCGAAGTTAAGTTAATTATCAGGCAAAAGTAGTGATCGCGAAGATGGTAAAATGTCAACTGTCGATAGGGATATCTTAATATGGCACATTGGCCGTGAATTGCAAAAAGTGTTTATGTGTGCAGTCCGCACTCCTGTTAGTATTGCTGTATGTCACTGTGTTAATTATATATATATATATATATATATGTCTATTAAACGGTACAACGATGTTATGGGAGACAGAGATATGGGCACATGCAAATGTGATCGTATCATATGTTAACTGTATGTTAATTGTATGTTAACTGTAATAGTTAACATACAATTATAAATTTGCAACTTTATCAGATGACAACAACTTTCTTATTAAATATTCATAATAATTTGAATTACACTAAATTTCTTCTTTCCTCGCCTTAAATGTTATGAAAATTCTGTATCCTCTAATTATTTACTACTTATAGTATTTAGTAAAATAAAGATATTTTTATTTGGCAATAATTACAGTTTTTCGTTTTATTTTAATTTTATACCTAAATTATTTTTTTCAGTTTTTATTACTTATAAATTAGACCAAACAGATAAACTTAGAGGGAGATCGAGTTTAGTACCCCTCCATTTTAAAAGTAGCTCTAAAAAATATTTTTTTATAATATTACCGAATTAAATAAAATAATAATTTTCAAATAATTGTATAAATTGTTTTCAAATACATTAATGCTAATAATCCTTTAATCCATTAATTGTCTCAATAATCCTTTGGTTAACATATACATTACCAACATAACGTTTCCAATTTAAAAGAAAATATATCTGATAATCTTATTGTTCGTTAAATTTGAAATATGTAACATTATAGTTGGCAATAATAATATCTTAGCAAAGGTGCACAATAACATTACGTTGCGCACTACAATCGATTTTTTTGTTTCTTCGGTCAGACGACGACAGTGGCGGTGGAAGAAGCCGCTACACGATCAAACTACATACATATTCCATCTGCACCCGCTGTTAAATTTTAGTTGTAACACCGGTGCGTACGTGGTAGTGTGTAGTTAGTTCTACAGAACTGTCCCGCGTAAAATTATCAGCTAACCGCTGGGAAAACGTGCGAGAAAAATGATATTCTAGTATTTTTTTTTATTTAGTCACTAATTTAGGATTCTCTTTTTAAATGTCATCAAATAGTGGCGGTCACAATGAAAACATCAAGAGTAATGGTAATGTTGATTTACTATTTAACTAATAATAGTCAGGTTCATATTAGCCCACCGGAATAACGAGAAAATCTCATCCCTTTGGTGAATCCTACATCTCAATAAACGATGACTTAAAATCAATGTTTTCAAAAGTATATATAAAAATGGGTCTTGTTAGAAGTTATTTTGCGACACAAAAAATTAATCCGTCTTATAGTTATTAACCAAAATTATTAAAATATAATGTTACATTTTGATCTCAATAATCTTACACTATAAGATGTTAGAGGATAAGAGAATTTCTCGTTTGTTTTATAATAATCTTTAGTTAACTCTATATTTCAGTTTTCACTGGTAAAGCATAGAGAATATTAAAAGTCAAAAAGTTTGAAATGTTGTGGTTCTTGTGAATTTAACGCTATGATTATTTAAAAAATTATTTCGTATACTGTATTTATTAATTTAAATTAAAAAAAAATATATTTAAAATATCTAACTCAAAAATCCGCGTTACGTATTTCGGAAAACAATGTGACTATTATCAGCGCTAATCACATACTATAGTATAGTATAGTGAGTTTTTGTGCTAAATATTTTAGTTTTAAACAATTTAAAAAAAACAAATGATCTATTCTCATTATATATTTTAACTAAAATCAATTAAAATAAAACCGAAAAATAAAAGCTTTAAATTATATATTATTATTATACAATTTACATAGTTTTTAACTATCTTGAATACTATCTGAGGAAGTAAAAATTTTTATAATTCTATTTTTGATCTATACATATTTTATTTGTATAGTACATATCCCAATTTATTAGGATTATTAAATAGATAATTGATTCAATCGAATTGAAAAAATGTACACAAATATGAGCTTTTACCAGAGATTAAAACCGGTTAAAACTGCTTTTTATAATCAAGAAGTGGTTACTGGTTTTTTGTCTTAAAAATATAATGATACTTTGTTACCGGTAATCAAATATGTTTTAATATTATTAACCGGTATCCAAAAACTAACACATTAGAAAATTAGTTTTAAATAAAAACCAACTAACCAGATATCCTTTCTTGAAAGGATATCGTTCGCTTGATTCCTTCTTTAATTGAAGTTATACTCACATTGTTTTAGATAAATATTCATTAAATTTACTTATGTAACAATAATTTCAAACGTAATTAAGTGTTGTACTCGTAATTGATTTATATTCAAATCTATATATTATATATATATATATATATATTCTAATCATGACAATAATTTAATATGACAAAAAATGTTCATAAGTTGATGTATACTTTAAATAATTTCTGTTAATAGGGAAAATTAGTTTTTATTTTAATGTGCTATATGTGTATATTACCTATTTATCTAAATTAGAAGAAAAAATTGAAAATTGCTAATATTATTATACTACTATTATATCATTAAAAACATTTTTAAATATTCTTCAGTTATTATAACTTAGATTTAAGTAAATCAAGTAATTAAATATTTAACATAAAGTTTTTTAAAATTGTTTTAGTAATTTAAATTTTAGTACAAAACAGAAAAACTAATTTCTGTTATACTAAAAAAATTGGTAATTATTCTAAAATAAAATATTGAAATTTATCAAAATTCCAGCATGAAACTGAACATAATTTTTCGTTATCAAATTTGTAATAAAGAACAAATGAACTCGGATATTTTTTTAAGAGTTTATTTTTCTTATATAAATCGCGTACCACATTATTCTCAAGGGAATATCAAATTTTCTAATATTAATGTCTGATGTAAAAATATTCTAATAAATAAAAGATAGCCTCCCATAACAAATATAATTATTAGAGTATTGGTTAAAAACAATATGATAAACATGTGAGTGTATAATTTAGAGATTTGTTGTAATAAATTTCTCGATTGTAAAATCAATAATTACTAGATAAATATCAAAACCTTAATGTTTTTGGATAAACTAAAAAATTTTTAAAAAAATGTAAATAGTTTCAATACTAATTTATTTAAATTGATGCTTTTAAAAACATTTTTGAGGATATACTTTATTATATAATATAGCATTATAAATTGTACTCAATAAGTGAAAAAGAAACTTTTTAATTAAACCGATAAATCTAATTATAATCAATGAAAATAAGACGAATTTTCACTTCATTTTGCAAATGTAATATTGTTTTTCCATACTTATCCTTTAACTTATGTAAATCTCAACGGTATAATAATTTTTCTCTGGGAATATACTAAATAAAACTTTTACTTCTCTCCGGAAGATAAAAAATTGCATCTTTATACAGTAATTATTTTTTGGGATCTGTTTGTATTTCTAAAAATTATGTTGGTAAAATGACTAAATATTTTTAAAGGTAGGTTCAATTTTAAAATTTTTCAACGCTTAAATCGTGTATAAACGAAATATGAGATCATCAGTTTATACTTGAGTTGTGGTTTTAAAATATATATATATTATAAAATATATAAATTTTTGCTATTATTTCATTCAAGTATTAATAATTTAAAATAACAATTATATCAGTAGCGTATATAGAAATTTTTTATGAGGGTTCAAATAGTTTTTAGAACATAAAGTTGTGGAGGAATTATCCCCGTTATTATGATTTAAGTTTATGGGGGTGCTGATCCTGAGAACCCCCGTAAATACGCTATTGAAATAGATCAATGTGGTTTCTGTAAAAAAATATTCTTGTTTGGAGTATTTTTCATTAAAAAAAAACATAAATTTATAATCATGAGCAACTATAACGAACCCATTAACAAAAGTAATTAACTCGGTGACTTACTTGTTTCTGGGCGTGGGTGGTCAGAGAGTGATAGAAAAACTACACGTATTATATAATTTGAATAAATTTTTAACATACTCGATTTGCAGTTGGCACATATAAAACTGAATTTTTATAATTATTTATTTGTCACTTGATGTTGGTCTTTCATACAAGCAAAATGACATTACTTTTAACATGAATTGAAGTAATGCCAGTGGTATACATTTAATAAAGAAATGTCTATTTTAAATATTTAAATAAATATAATTTATAATTTTTTAATTATAACTATTAAGTATAATAATTTAAATAGTGTTAATTAATTATTTTTAAAAATCGAGAACTATGTAGTAACAAGTATTAATCTTGGTTAATTTAATTGTACTAGGTAATTTCGGGATTCGATAAATGTAACTACCGGAAATAACGAAGGACATTGTACGATATGTGCTAGTTGTGTGTAAAATTATATAATTCGTTAAATTCGATGTAAATTTATACTATACAAACTTTTACCTTCTCTATTATTTTATAAATTGAAATTTTAATATGGCTAAAGTATTACAAGTACATTTTTTATATATACTCTATTACTTGTTAATTTGATTAAAGTTTTCAAACTAACTATTAATTTAGTCAACGAATAATTTAAATATAGTTTAATTTTATAGTTCTATGTGTTTAGTATAATAGATTTAATATAACAGTAGAATAACACTTCATAAGAAATATATTATATTTGGCATGAATAACTGTGTGAGAAAAATTTAAAAAGAATGTACCTATAGAACTTGTCGTTAAATGCATGGAGTTTTGATAAAGATAAATATTAGTAGATAAATTGTAATCTGAAAAAATAAAAGTTTGAATTTGTTGGTGAACTATATTCTTGTTATGAAAAATAATATTGTTTAAAATAACATCAATCATGATTATTATAGTATAACAATAAGATGAAGCGTTGGCACACATAATAAATAAACTGAAAAAAAAATTTGAGATACAAAAATAAAAATAACGGTAGCACAGTGGGATTGCACCTTTTTGATTAACTTTAATAAATTAGTTGATCATTCCAAGAGCAACATCAACTTCTATTTCGTTAATTATATCCTGATTAGTAGTTATTTGATTATAAGTATAATATATAAATTTTCTATAGTATAGCAATTAAACATAGTATGACATTGATGTTTAATAATTTAGTATTGAAATTTTTTCAGAGAATTTATAAAAAATTATAAAGTAGTTGTTCTTTTTATGGAAAACGTGTATAAAAATGGAAGGGCTTGCATACAGAACTTTTTAATTATGTAATAATTTGTTGTTAATTTTGAATAAATGTACTGCAAAAAATGTTCATTAGAGTCAAAAATATACTTTTAATATTCAATTTTTCACACTCATTTAAAATCTATAATTAGATTTTTTCTATTACCTCTAATTTTAGCTTCGATGCGAAGCTGAGAAGGTATTGGTTTTACTATGATGTGTTTTTTTTTTTTGTGTCTGTTACCACTTTTTTTCAGCTCTCACCGAACGGATTTCTTTCAACGATACGTCAAAAGATTACAAATCGTATCTAATCGAAGACATTACCCTTAAAAATTGAAAAATTTTCCCTCGTTCCCCGTAAATGGGGGAAACCTCCAAAAAAATTACAAATTTAAAAATCGCTAATTTTCGAAATTTTTTCAATTTTTTTTACTAAAAACTGCCGTAACTTTTTCAAAAATGAACATATCAATATAATTTTTTTTTTATAGATGCTTGATGTCTTTACTTATTATTTGGTATGTTTTTTTTGTAAATTTGACCCTTTATCTGCCCACAGGGAGGGATTTAAAATGACAACTTTTTTACAAAAAATTAACTTTTTCAACTTATTCAACTTTTTTGATTTTATAATTTACATTTTTTACTTTAAAGTGCTATAACTTATTGAAAAGTGTATGGATCAACACATTTTTTTTATGAGAAATAATATTTTTTAATAATCCCTTTTTCATTCGATATATTTTATCTTAATCAGGATATTAATAAGGAACTAGCAGATCATGTAGCTTTTGGAATAATACACCAATTTTGTAAATTAAACACTATCTAAAGATTTGCATCGAAGCGTTTTATTTTGATAGTGATTTTAATCACTGTCAGATATCATTATACTTGATCCAACTATGCCACGTCACCACTGTGCCACGACCCCCCTGTGCTGGGTTTTTGATACTCTTAC